CTGAAAGTGCTGTAATTGTTTGTGTGATCACTTTGCTTATAGAAGTTTGTGACATACCCAAATCATCACTGCTGCACAGTTTTTCAGCTGCCAAATATGTTAATGTAGTTAATGTGATTACTTCCATTTCTGGCACTATGGTATTTTCATGCTATGTCGGAGATGTTAGCATGTCTCTAATAAGATCGGTCACAAACATGATCTCTGCAATATCTAATGTGTAGCATCTTAAATCATTGTCTTGTATTGTGTGCAACTAATTTCTTCTCCCTCTTCATGTTTTGTCAATTTTCTCCACTGCTAAAGAAACTCTTAAACCTCTTAAAACTCCTCGTCCGTACTCCTAACAATTTTGGACCTTAAGGCCTCTTTTAAGGGTTAAGATTCTTTCTTAATTACTTTTTTCTTTACTAGGATCTTTTCTTTCATTTTAAGAGGAAACACCCACATTTCTAAGAATTTTCTTAGAATTCTGTCACTAGGAGCAACTCTTTGCACTAAGACTTTTCATGAATACGGGCCCAGGGACTTATATTACATCTTGTAAAAAGGGGTGTCACAGTTTAATTTTAAACTACTTAAATGTTATAATGTCTCTGTGTTTGTGTCATTGTTCCTGCTGAACTGAGAGTAAAGAGTGTGTTGTTCTGCAGGTTATGGGATTGTGGCGTCAAAGCTGAAGGTTGTGCTGCTCTGAGTTCAGCTCTGAGATCAAACTCCTCACAGCTGAGAGAACTGGATCTGACTGGGAATAAACTAGGAATTAGAGGTCTGAAGCTGCTCTCTGATGGACTGAAGCATCCTCGCTGTAAACTGGAGAAACTGGCGTAAGAGCATATATTAATCTCAGCTGAAACAATTATATATACTATACCAAGGGTCTGTCATCATAATTATGTTCAGATCACAGTGATTTACATTAACATACAATAAATCAATAGTAAACAAAAACTAATAGAAACGTTAAACCCACACAGATTTGGGATTTAATATTATAGTCACTGTGTTTGTGTCATTTTTTTCTGCAGGTTGAGATATTGTGGCGTCACAGATGAAGGTTGTGCTGCTCTGAGTTCAGCTCTGAGATCAAACCCCTCACAGCTGAGAGAACTGGATCTCATTGGGAACACACTACGGCAGTCAACTGTGAAACTGTTCTCAGCTTTAAAAGATGATCCACATTATAAACTGGAGACACTGCTGTAAGTAGTAATGATTAAAATCATATATTATTAAAATAATTTGAACTCAGACCCTTGTACAGATGTGTGTCAGCAGTAATGCTCATTAATGCATCTGTTACTGTGTGTGTCATTATGTACTGACAGGTATTAAATGATGGTGAAAGTGGGGCCTCAGACACATGAAAGCCCACAGAATCAACAGAACTGAAGTCACAGTGATCAAGCGCTGATTGGGAGGGGGGAGGGGGTAACATAAAGTGTACTTCAATTTCAAATATGAATATATCAACTTTTCAGTACATCTAAATGTCAGAAATTATAATATATAAATGTTATGCTGTATAATTTATGATTTGTACGATTTGTGACAAATACATCTTCACGTTCCCATCACTGTACTTTGTACAAAATAGTTGGTTGGTCATCCTTGTACCAAAGGAGAAAAATGCACATGTTAATATTTAATGTCAAGGCATTATTAGGTAAACTTCCAACTTATATTTGTAATCTTTTATCATATTAAACTTGTAATTATAGCACTAGAAACTCTTACAAATTACATTTGACTGTTCCTAGAGTACGCACTGAATTTGGCAAAACTGCCTTTTCCTCCTATGGTGTTATGATGTTAGAAACAATTCCATCTCTAAATATTTTTAGAAATCTTTTGGAGTTCTACCTGGAAGAAACTTGTGAATGTTTTATGTAATTTTTAATATGATGTTGGATGATATTTTTTTATTTTATTTTATTTTTTTGTTTGTTTTATGTGTGTCTAATCTGTATGTGAAACTTTCTGTGCTGCCATTTTGGCCAGGACTCCCTGGTAGATTTATATCTCAATGGGATAATTCCTGGTAAAATAAAGGATAATAAATAATGCAAAATCTCAAACATCTTAAGGCTAAAAGTAGCTCATAACTCGCCGATTTAGGAGAAGATCTTAAAAATAGTGGGCGTGTCAATCCTAAATTTAGGACTCTTACATTTTTGCTCTAAGACTATTTCACAAAGCATTTTGTGCATTTAGTGCACATTTTTAGCACTAAAACTAGCTCCTAAATCTGTGAAACGTTAGGAGTAGTGAAGAGGACTCCTAAGTCACTAAAACCAAGCCACAAACTATCCTAAAATGTCTGTTGCTGGCAATCTGCCTGAACGTAAATATTGCTAAAAGTAGCTCATAACTCGCCGATTTAGGAGAAGATCTTAAAAATAGTGGGCGTGTCAATCCTAAATTTAGGACTCTTACATTTTTGCTCTAAGACTATTTCACAAAGCATTTTGTGCATTTAGTGCACATTTTTAGCACTAAAATTAGCTCTTAAATCTGTGAAACGTTAGGAGTAGTGAAGAGGACTCCTAAGTCACTAAAACCAAGCCACAAACTATCCTAAAATGTCTGTTGCTGGCAATCTGCCTGAACGTAAATATTTTAGAAACATTTGATGATAATCTTTTAAAGAGGTATCACCTTTGGTTTTGGAGGTTATCCCAACTCCTAATTTTCCTTTGATTATATCCTTGTTTTCATTAACCAGCTGTTCTTGCATCCAGGTTTTTTTTTGTTTTTTTTTTATGTTTGCATGTCTTACTATCAGCCATGATTATTCTACTCTGTTAATTAAAAGGCTGTTTATATGTATATTCGTTAATTGATTTTGAGAAGCATACATGTAAGAGGCTGACAATAAGCTGAACATATACTTGTTTAATTAGTGACACTTATCCTGCATTTTACAATCTTTATTTGAATGTGGCAATTAACATTTTAATTTTTAAACCTTTATTTGAATATGGCAACATAATATCACACTCTTCAATATTTCTATTAATAAATCTCTGACAGAGACTATAAGCCAATCACTGTGTGCATAGTTAGTAAGTATGCTGACATCATCCATAGCAACAAGGTAAACCCCGCCCCCTTACTCTTAGCTGAAGACTTCTGTAAATTTGTCTCAGCAGCTTTGTGAATAGGTTTTACAGTTTTTCTCAGTCGCTTTGGTGCATTTCTCAAAATCCTTAATATTCGCAAAAAAGTATGTGCATTTCTCAAAACAATTCGTACATACAGCACCACACAATGGATTACCTGCAAAAGCCTGTAACTTATCCAAAATCTTTAGTTCATCTCTCAAAAGTAAGTATTTGTCAATGAGCATATCAGTACCATCAGAATGAAAAGTCCTTGTGTCATTCATTGTTCACAAACAAGACAGTCAAAATGCTTAGTCATGTTGTCAATATAACAGTGCACTCTGTTAGTTTTACCTGATGTAAACTATGGCAACATTTTGGAAGACAGTTACTGTATTGAAGTTTGAACAGTATGCCATATGCTTATGTATTACCTGATGTAAACTATGGCAACAGTTTGGATGACAGTTACTGTATTGAAATGCAGAAGGCTGCACTTCTTATGTATGTCATATATCCATTTCAAAAGTACAAATTTACACATTACTGTATGTGGGATATTGATTGAAAGAGACTGGATAGAATTCCCAGTTACACTTTTACTAGTGGTCTGACCAAAAAAACACTTACAATGTCATTGTGATATAGAAAAGGAAAAAGAAATATGGGCACAAAGATGAAAATAAGAAAGTCCATTGTCAGAATTTGTAACTCTTGGGTTGTCCTCTGTCTATACAGTATATGCTTTCCAACTGAAAATGTATGAGATGAACGTTCAGAAAAATGGTTTATCATTGGTTGATCTACATTCTCTTCGTTAGTGAAAGTCAAAATTCACTTGCACAATTCATGCCAAATTTACAGAAGGGCAAGGAGACAAGCAGTCTCAGATGAAATTCAAACCACTTTAGTTGACCATGTCCTTGTCCATGGTATGACTATGAGGGAGGCTGGGCAACGAGTACAGCCAAATTTGAGTCGCTTCACCGTTGCCTCCATCATCATAACCTTCAGGGAGGAAAACGGGTAGGTGTACTTACAGTAAGACTGCTCTGTACAGTAACTTTAGAGTGCATACACTCTAAAGTATGTATATATATATATATGTGTATATATATATATATATGTATATATTATAATATATGTATATATATTGTACAAGTATAGAGAATTTCATTTCTGATTTGGGAAATGCACCAAAGCGTCTGAGAAAAACTGTAAGAGAAAACTTAGCTAAAAACTTTTACTGCTATTTAGGAGAACTCTTAGTGGTAAGATAAAATGTTTTGTGAATACGGGGCCAGTATAATCATGGCTGACAGTAAGACATTCAAATGTAAAAGAAAAACAAACTGGATACAGCTGTAACTTCTTGCCCAACTTGTACATGAAAAGAAGGACATAATTACATTAAAGGAAATTTATTGTGAAATGCTTCCAACATGTTTACGTTCTGAGGCAGATTGACAAAATAAGCCATTTTAGGATGTTTTTTGTTTTGGTTTTAGTAACTTAGAATTAGGAGCTTATTTTTAGCACTTGAAATACTCTCAGAGCAAAAATGTAGGAATCCTAAAACTAGGACTGGCTTGCCCATTATATTTAAGAGTTTCTCCTAAATCAGAAAGTTAGGAGCTACTTTTAGCCTTAAGATGTTTTATGAATACAGTCTCAGAAGTCATGTGACAAAAATGTTTAATATGTGTCTCATAGCCTTATTTCAGTGTTTTTATATATATATATATACATATACACACACACACACAGTGGCAGCTCCTGCCAGTTCTCTCAGGGGGGGCAAATGTTTGCATGATTAAAGAGGATAGGTCACCCATTCAATTGATAAATTAACGGCTAGTTAAAGATGTAAAGGAAACTGAACTACTATAGTATTAATTAAAAATAAACTGACTCTAACAATCAATCTCTTGCTCTCCTTATGTTTCTACATGCGTGTTAACACAATTCAGCAGAAAATGAAGACTGAAGCCAGGATGTGGTTTTCCAAAAAACTTTTTACTTCAATTTCTGTTTAATAAGAAATAACTGAAGTCCCATAAATCACTATTTACACAACTCACTTATATTACACATCTCATTTACAACACTGCTCACTTATATCACATTACTCACTTACACTGCTCACTTATATTACACTGCTCACTTATATCACATTACTCACTTACACTGCTCACTTATATTACACTGCTCACTTATATCACATTACTCACTTACACTGCTCACTTATATTACACTGCTCACTTATATCACATCTCACTTACATTACACTGCTTACTTACATTACACTGCTCACTTACATCACATTACTCACTTATATTACATTACACCTGTAGTTGTCCATGCGATGTCCGTCACACTCTCGGGGTGGAACAAAATGCAGGGGTAGCAGAATAAAGCGTTAGCAACTTCGCAGCCCGCTAGCCTTTTTGTCCGCTCATACCAAGTCCTCAGAAATCCCCGTTTATACGACTTCCCGCCCTTTGTAGATACATGTTTGATGTTTAAATTTGGTCTTGGTGGTCCTAATTCTTTAATTGACAATTTATCCTTATTGCTACAACGACGATTCATCTGCGCTGAGGAAACGTTCGCCAAGATTTCGATCAAGTTCAACCGACAACTGAATTTGAGTTGGCATAGCTGTCCCCGTCTCTTTTTTTGTTTTTTTTCTCGTTTTTTTTCTTATTTTTTCACATTTGATAAAAATATTAAAGTAGTTTTTCATTTTTTATTGTTGCTACAATTCAAAATAGTTTTTAAATATTATTGGATGTCACTGTTCCCACCAATCCTTGCACAAGTTAAGGTTACGCATGATGACGAAAGCACGTTAGGGCTAGCCCTCCCGGAACTCATAGAGATTGCATTGCAGTGCCTGCAGTTCGAAAAAGAATTATCTTTGAATGGAAGTCTATGAGAGCACTCGGGGCGATTCTCAGTCTGACAGAAATCGCCCAAAAAGGGGCGGTACTACACAAAACGCGACTCGACGCTGATTGGACTATTTAGAGGCAGAACAAACAGT